CACACCGTTAAAGCCGGATGGACAGACACCGAGAGTTTGTGGTGATTACCGTGTCACTCTTAATACGAAGCTGCTGCATCGTAGTTGTGTCACGGAAGAACCTGATTCTATTCTCTCGCGTCTACACGGATCCAACATTTTCTCGAGGCTAGACTTAAAAGATGCATATCTGCAGATACCACTGACTGATGAGTCTAGTGAACTGACCACAATCAATACACCTTTTGGGTTGTAGCGCCATAGATTTCTTCCCTTTGGTCTTAGTGTGTCGCCAGCCATATTCCAAGATGTGATGAACTCCATTGTGAAAGATGCGAAGGGTGTTGAGGTCTATCAAGACGATGTTTTTGTACATGCTATTAACAAACCGACACATGACTACCGATTGCTGGTACTTTTGACTCGCTTCAAGGATGCTAATGTGAATATCAATCCTAAGAAGTGCTTAATTGGTGTCCATGAAATCAGTTGTCTTGGTTATCAGGTTACATCTGAATGATTCAAACCAGATCCTGAACGGATAAAACCATTGGTTGATGTGAAGTCCCCCACCAATGTCCATGAGCTTCGATCACTGATGGGCGCCTTACAGTACTGTTCCAAATTCATTCCTGGTTTTGCATCCATTGCTGATCCTTTATTCACCTTGTTGAATGACAAGAGTTTTGTTTGGTTAGACAGATATGAACATGTTCTTCGGAAGCTTTTAAAAATTCTTGCATCTGGTTGTGTTCTTCACACCTTTTCTCCTAAATTACCTACTGTGCTTTTCACAGACGCTTCACCCACTGGTATTGGGGCTGTGTTAGAGCAGAATGGACACCCCCTTCTGTGTATTTCCCGTCGACTAAGCAATGCTGAAAAAGGATATGCTCAGACTCATCGAGAAGCTTTGGCTGTATACTGGGCAGTCACAAGACTTCACAAATACTTGTTTGGCCTCAGATTTACCATTGCGACAGATCATGAAGCTCTGAAGTTCATTTACAATCCTTCCATATCTTTAGCTAAGTCTGCAGCAGCCATGGTCCAAAGGTGGAGTGTTGCCCTTAGTGTGTATATCTTTGTGGTCGAGCACAGAAGTGCGAAGCTCATTCCTCACGTCGACTACTTATCACCTACTGCAACGATATTTGAAACCGATTCTGAGATGAGTAGTTTACTCACCCAGCCGCTTCCAATCTCTCGTCCTGCCCTTATCAGTGATACTAGAAGGTATTATGGGTCATTGATTTCTGCTGTCAAACGTGGTTGGTCGGTTTCTCTCAAACGGAAGTTCCCACAATTTTATGTGCGTCGTGATGAATTGTGTGTTACACCTGATGGATTACTATGTGTAAATGACCGCATTGTTATCCCGCCGACTTTGAGATCAGCTATTCTAACGGAATTACATTCCGGTCATCTTGATGTTAAAAAGATGAAGTCTTTAGCTAGATGCTTGTGCTGCTGGCCTGAATTAAATGCAGATATTCGACGAACTGCTTCTGATTGCCCGAACCGTAAACACAAAACTTTACGGCAACAGTCAAAGTGGACACCATGGCCGATGACATGCGAGCCCTGGCAAAGGGTACATATGGATTATTGTGGACCATTTCTGCAGAAGTACCATCCTTTTGTGGTGGTGGATTCTTATTCAAAGTGGCCGGAGGTATTCCTGACTGATAAACCAAATTCTGCTTTTGTTGTCCGTGCCTTGAGAAAAGCGTTTAGTAGAGAAGGAGTCCCATTAGCTGTGTTAAGTGACAATGGTTCGCAATTTTCGGCTTCAGAGGTTACTAATTGGCTACAGAGCCTTGCGTGTCGCCACCTTTTTACCGCTCCACGACATCCATGTTCTAATGGCCTAGCGAAAAATTTTGTTGCAACCTTAAAACGTTCCATTACCTCCTGTGCTCCTACTTCTTTTGATGAACTTGATCGTTGTGTTGATAACTTCCTTCTTCAATACCGTAATTGCGTGCATTCCTCTACTGGAGATACACCTGCCAAACTTCGTAAATCCAGACCATTGAGGTCAAACATGCTTGGCTTGGGGACTGCTGAGGTATCTTATTTCAGGGGAAATGATTTACGTCCCTCATCTGGTATTATTGTTAACAACATTGGAGCCCGCATGGTTAGAATTTTGGATCTCGATGATTGTTCTGCACACAGACGGCATGTTGACCAGATACGATACAAGGATTCCGGTCAGTTGTCATTCGCTTCAGTGTGCACTAAAAATAGTAATGTCGATTCAGTTTCAGATCCTCATGAGTATTCTGAGCAAAATCAGCCTCCAAGAAGATCTGCCAGATTGCAACAGTAACCACAGTTGAATTACAGAAACCTGGAGTTGCATTTAAGCTGCGGAGGATGTGATAATTGTACAAACAATACTCAGTGATTGTTTATTGTTATTCTTTTCACCTTTTTTGGTGTAGAATACACACCCGCGAAATTCGAATTCCAATTCTGGTGTTCTTATTCCGAGTCGTGACTAGTTTGAGTGGAGTTCAATTATTTTCCGATTCAGAACATCATATATCCTCAGGAATGTGGGGATAAACGAATGAGGTCCGTGAATTGGATAGCATTTACCGGATATTCACGACGCAGTTACCTTACTTTAGGGCGAGTCACATCCGCCACGGCGCCATGTTGAACGGCTGATTTTTATGGCTTTTTATAGGAAGTACTCTTACCAGGCGGAAAATCGCCACATTCCGCCGCCTAACTATGTGCTGAAACGAATTAAAACTGTACCACTCACCTGGCGCCACGAGTAGCTTCTTCGGGTAGCCAGCCGATCAGGTCATATTAGAATAACGCCGGAACTTAATATAGAGAGTTAGTTCAGCTACTAGACTAGTTCGCCCCGTTGCGCTTTGACAATCGCTGCAGGAAACATATATGGTGGCGCCGCAGAATGGATTGTGTGGTAAAGAGGCACAGCGTACCTTGGAAAATATTTCAGGAATTATGACAGTTTAACGTTGGTTGCAGTATAAAAAATTTCTCAATGAAACACTAAACTTGCGGCGACAAACAAAGTATGCCTATGGTCTCAGACTGGCCAAAATGTAAGAGCAATGTCGAAGAGGTATTATGGTTATATTCAGTCCAAGCCGGCTTAAAGTTGAGGTTGGTAATTTATTGGCCGTTGACGGTGGTCACGCCTCAGACGATGTAACTAAGGAAAAGTTGCTTCTGCACGTGTTTCAAATACTGCATAGTTGAGACGATGGGCTTCCTATACACTCACCTTCATTTTGTCAAAGTCATAATGCAATGCTGGCAATTCATCTTATTGCAGCGGAGGTCTGAGGGGTACTGGCTGGCTTAGGCCCATCTAAGTCGGATGGATCTGACGAGGGGTATCCTGCCATTGTCAACCCACTGGCTGACAGATTCCAATACCTTGTGGTGGAGATGTTCGCTATCAATACCTAAAGGTAGGCTAGAACAGGAGTAGAAGGTGGCAACTGTTGTAGCCATACATAAAGTACGTTTCAAAACCTTACCTGTCAATTACAAGCCTGTGGATCCAACCACCTTTTTACTCAACTGCTTTGATAAAGTCATTTGAAAAAGTTTTTGTGAACACTTAGTCGAGCACAATATATTTGGAGCCGAACAGCACGATTTTGTTAGAAAGAACTATTGCCTTACTAATCTTCTGTGCTTCTTAGAGGTAATAACTAGCTGGCTTGACGATGGAATCTCAGTTGAAGTATGATACCACGACTTTAGTAAGGCCTTCGACTCCGTTAACCACTGATGCATACTTGCGAACCTGGAAAGTTGTGGCTGGTATCCTCGACTTTGACTTGGATTGCGGCGTTTCTTTGCTGTAGAATATTTCGCTTTAGGGTCAGCGAAGCTAGATCTAGCAGCGGCACTGCAAACAGCAGTGTTCTCCATGGTTCTGTTTGAAGATAATTATTGTTCCTTATTTTTTTCGAGGACTTGGCTTATCTTCGCTAATACTCGTGTCTTAGTTTGTTGATTATCGTCAGCAGTGGTAGGCAAGAGAAGTTGTCCAAGGACCATTGCACTGTAGTGGATTGGTCGGTTGAATTGGACTTGCATTTAAGTGGCAGAAAATGCCGGTTACTGAGTTCCAAAAATTAAGAGATAACGGTGCTAACATCCGTCGGTCCTTGGGAGCTGCGATGTGCACATGAAGCAGGAGTCTTAGGCATCAGTGTTGCGAACTACTTCATTTAGCGCAATATAAGCATGGTGCCAACAAAGCGCTGAATGCATTGTCTCGCCTTAAAAGACATTTATGCAGCACTAGAAGTGAGGTTTTTCTCCCCATATAAAAGGCGGTGGCATGACCTAAGCTAGCATACTGTGTACAAGCTTGGGCACCGTACCACCGGAAAGATGTGCCCTGTATAAAAATTACAAAATCTGGCTTCTAGGATGATTGAGGGTCTAGGTGACAAGCCATACGCTGAACGCCTAAGGAGCCTAGGTCTGTATTTAATGGAACGGCAAGGACTAGGAGGGATCTAATAGAGACCTCAAAAATCGTGAAGAGTTTTAGAGGTATCCAGTGTACGGAACTGTTTGAGCTAACTTGGTCAGATGGCCCGCGACGACACGAACGCAGGCTCAAGCATCAATGATCTAGGCTGGATATCACGGTGAAATTCTTTGTGGATCGTGTACTCAATAGCTGAAATAAGCTACCTCCAGCATTAATAAAATGCAGAACCATAGAGGCCTTTAAAAGAGGCCTAGTTAGGTGTTGGTCTTAACTTTCCTGCCTTCTCGTAATTTTATTCTGTCTTCGCGCTGCAACCCCGAACTGCGTGACAGTACACAAAGTGCTTTTGTTTTTACTTCAATCTATTGCAGAAGTTGTGGACATAAATCAGAGATCAACCTAACCGGAACTCTTGTTTACTTACCGGTGCAAGAAACAGCCAGCTCGTTAGGCGGAGGCCTGTATGGTTCTTGGAACCTGATCTGACCTGAGCTGACCTTCAATAAATGTTTGGATCAGCGCACTTAGGACAAAATTGCAGAATTTGCTGAACGCTGTGACTATCATCTTGGTTCAGCAGACCTTGTTTTGTGTAATACGTCCTTGCTAGCAATCTACCATTAGGCACCCAGAAGTACACTAATGGGCAAAATTTAGGGTGGTTGCAGAATTGCGACCTTGAGGTCGAATCAAGCGCTCCGCCCAGTTTGGGCGTTGGACTTTCGGGCGATGGGTCTTTTCTAGACCCGCTATGGGCCAGCCCGACGCTGATCGTTGTCCAACCCTCTCCAAAAACGATTATTTGATTGCTGGTTCCATCAGTGGCTTTGTATCCCGCGCTATAGTGCAGCCGTTGGATGTTTTGAAAATTCGATTTCAGGTAATGCGGCTTTCTCTTACAGTTTTCAGTTACAAGTCGAACCTATTAGCTCATCATACGCTGGGAAGTACCACGGTTTTGTCCAAGCCATCCGTTGTATCAGCAAGGAGGAGGGTGCGATCGCCTTTTGGAAGGGACACATTCCTGCCCAGCTGCAAGCCGTTGGTTTTTCTTCCATCCAGTTCCTGACGTTCGAAGTGTTAGTATCTTGGCTTGTTCAGCTTAACGTGTACCGTGGTTCACCTCGAGGTCCACGTGCTACCCTAAAATCATCTAATACGCTAGAGACGTTCGTTTGTGGTAGTGTGGCCGGATCGGTTGCCGCAGCATGTACCCAACCATTAGATGTTCTGCGGACTCGTTTCATCGCCCAAGGAGAACCAAAGCTCTACCGGTGAGTTAATGCCTAAATGAATTGCTGTTTTCGGAAGTCCACATTTTTCATTTTCTGTTCTATCCTTTATTTGTTCATTGTTCATTGGTTCATTGACTTGTAGGGAGCAGAAAGGAAATCCTCTGACATGACGCATGCCAATCTTTGATCGTCGGAGTCGTATACAGAGCCCCTGCAGGACCTGGCTCACATCTGTTAAGCTCCGTGCGGACCCACAGCAGAGGGAAAAACTGTTTTATGGATGACTTCAACGCCCCCTGCATAATCTGGGACCCATTTTACAGTGATTTCCCACCTGACTCCTTTGAAGTTCATCTCCTTGATATCATACACGAGTGCAACTTGACATAGCATGTTGACGCCAACACGGATGGTCCCTGGTCAGACACCAAACCTTGACCTGGTCCTCATCTCGGCCCCATCTGATGTCTCAGATGTAACGATCCTCCAACCTCTAGCAAAGAATGATCACTGTACAGCCTCGTTTTCTTGGACACGACGCCTCACAATCCACGATCAGAGGCACTGAGTCAAATTTCTGGCGCACTGACCAGCCCAGATTAAGAATGGCTGCAAGCAATATGGACTGGAGTATTCCGCAATTCTTGGAGCTTGATAAATCATGGGAACGCCTACGATCCACGATTATGCTGCTCATTGAACAGTTTGTTCCAAACTGTAGGAGTAGACCACTATCAGAAGAACCCCCATGGATTGATAAAGATAATTCTTCGTGAAAAAATACAATGGAAACCATGGGACCAATTCTAGCTCACAGCTTTGACTTTAAGCTACTTAGAGTACAGAACTGTCGGCAACCTGTGCACCCTGAGGAATTGAGAAAAGACTACAGCATAAACATGAATCGGCCATGTAATCCAAAAACTGTCCCAACAAACCTTTTGCCTACCTGAAGCGAAATGCCAAAACAGGTGAAGGAATCCCCGCGCTATCCTTACCTAAGGAAGGTAGTGTTCTCTACAGCGATGATGAAAAAGCAAACCTACTGGCTACGCAGTATTCCTCGTTCTACTTCGTGGAATCTCCGCTGCTTAACAACTGTTTGCCTGCACACTACTCTGGACCAAATTGAGATTAACCCCGAGGAAGTCACTAAGCTACTCGAACTGGACCCCAACTCCTCCGCAGGCCCGGACGAATCGCATCATGGCTTCCTCAAAACGATAGCTGAGTACATCGCCGCCCCTATGCCAAGTATTTCTGCGCTCCCTCGAAGTGGGCCACCTACCCACAGGCTGGAAAGTAGGTACCGTCGTGCCTACATATAAGGGGAAACCAACAAGACCCAGCGAACTACCGGCCAATATGCCTAACATCAGTCTTGTGCAAAACCATCTAACGAATAGTCAAGCGCGCCTTCCAGCTACACTGTGGGAACATAAACATCTCACCCGCTCAACATGGCTTCCGGAGAGCACGCTTATGCATCTCTAACTTACTCATCGCCAGGGAAACATGGGCAGAAGCCATAGATGTTCGAAAACAAGTTGCTGTAGTATTCATTGACTTCAGTGAAGCCTTTGATCAAGTGCCACACGTACGACTGCTACACAAACTCCAGGGACTTACCGTTGTGGGAAATCCTGGATGGCCGATTTCTGAAGAGGTAGGACAATGCGCGTACAAGTGCACCAAGTCCTCTCTGCTCCTGTGCCTATGACTAGTGACGTTCCCCAAGGATCAGTGCTTGGACCAGAGCCCTTCAAACTGTTTATTAACGATCTGCCGACTTCACTTCAAACCGACTGCTTGATCTACGCCGATGACTTCAAGCTGTGGTCAACTATCCAGCCTTGAGGATGCGGACAGATTACAATGGGCTCTAGACCAGCTGCGCGAATGGTCCATCAAATGGGAATTGCCAGTAAACCGAGATAAATGTGCTGTTCTCCCAATGGGTTGCACTGATCTGTACGGTGCATACCACAGTATTGGGTTCCTCCTCAGGAGTACCACTCACGAAAGCGATCTCGGCGTTACCGTGTCTTGTGACCTTGAGACAATGCACGACACGTTGAAGAAGGCCACTGGAAGGATACTTCTGGGTGCCCTAAGAGGATCATAGGCTCGAATAACTCCTGAAGTTTTTTTTGACCTTTGTCCTCTTCGTGCGTCCGACCAGTCGTTGAATATGGTCTACCAGTTATCCATATCCGCGTAGGGGTGGGCGTCCTCGCGGTATGCTCAGCCCGCGCGCGACTGGTGGTGGTGGTCGCGCGGCAGCAAAGCGCCGTTAAGGCGTATAAGCTGACACATTCATTCATTCATTCACCAGTTATCCATCCGCTTTCCAAGTTTGAATGCGCTCTGCTGGAAAACGTTCAGAGACGTGCATCGAAAGCTGTTGTAGGGCTTCGTGATCCCTCGTTCCCTATTCGGCTCCAGCAGCTAAATCTGTCCTGCCTGAAGTTCCGCCGTCGCCGGGGTGATCTCAATTCATCATCCTGAACAGCAGTACATCAACCATTTGAACTGATGCTGCGCTGCCATACAACCATGAGGACCTATAAAATAAAGAATAAGAATAGAGAGAAAAGGGGGACTTATCTGAAAACCTTAATGCCTTAAGCAAACATTCAGAATCAAGGCGCCTACACCTTGTGTAGACAACATACCGTCACAAACAGTTGGCTATCGTGCAAAGATTAGGCGGCATCGGCGAGACAGCTTCCTTGCGGCTTTCATTGTCCCGCGTCATAATCAGCCATTACCCCGCAGATAGCTCAACACCAAACACACTTTAGACAGGCAATCCGATTAGAAGATGGCAGCAGACGCGCCACTGGTGTCGTTTGCTAGCCATGTCCTGTAAAGCCTCAAACCGAACACAAGGCGAGTCACGTGGACTCCAGCCCGGAAGGCGAGATGGACCAACGGCATCTAGTTTGGTCGTCAGTGACTTCATTTCCCGCTGCCAAGTCAACTTCTGTCCACTTCGAGCCTTACGCCACCCTACACCTGGCAGACTAAACAAGGCCCTCCTAGATAAGCGGTGACCAGGCATACGTAGCACGTGCCCGAGCCAACGCAACTTATTCAGTGCTATCTGTTGTTTTAGGGGAATAACAAGATTATCACCACCTAGTACTTGCCTACGCACATCACCGTTGCGGACACGCTGGTGCCATCCGACACCAGCAGTGCTTCACAGACAACGATGAAGGCGCCTTAGATCTTCAGACTGAAGGGGCCAAGTCTCACTACCATATAGCTGAACGGCCCTCACTGTGGCCTTGTATACCCGGCCTTTCAGACGGAGGGAAACTCCATTCTGTCGCCAAAGATGCCGCAGGTTCAAGAACGTAGCTCTGGCCTTTGCAATGCGTGAGCTGACGCCAGTTTCTATGCGCCCATCATTGCTGATGCAGCTGCCAAGATAAGTGAAATGATCAACCGCCTCGCGTTCCTCGTTAGCAGGCGTCAAGTGGTCATCAAGTGGCTAGTAGTCCTGCAGCAACACTTTGAAGGTGGGAAGCGCATACCAATTAATGGGATCAATCTGGACAGCCTTTTCATGGTTTATTGTGCCACACCAACATTGTCGAAATCAAGACGATTTCGTCCGCATAATCTAGATCGACTAATCTTTTACCAGGCGATACTTCAACGCCTACATCGTGAGATTCCGCAAGGGGACACTCCATGATGGAGTCCACGACGAAATTGAGCAAAAAGGGGGAAATTAGACGACCCTGACGAACGCCACTTCTGGTCGGAAGGCTATACGATAGGCCACCATAGACCTTGACGCAGCCTGTAGTGTTCGAGTATAGAGCACGAAGGATGTTCACATGTTACGTGGGAACACCTTTCCGCGCAAGTATTTCGAACAAAATCGATCGATCGACTGAATCGAACACACTCTTGAAATCGAGGAACACACTATTGTCAGTCTGCAGTATGCGTAGCGCCGCTCTAACACCTCCGCAAAGTGAATATGTAGTCTATACAGCCACGTCCTGGACGGAAACCTGCCTGATCTCCACGAATCCGAGATATTCGTTCAGCAGTGTGGCGACGAACGATAATCGAGGCCAATAATTTTGTCACAACTGGCGTTTGGCTAATACCCCTGTGGTTACAACAGTCAGTGCGACTGCCCTTTTTGTATATTGCCAGTATAATCGGTTCGCTCCAATTAGCCGGGACACTTCCAGGTTTGTTCAAATAGAGTGGTCAGTGCTTTGCAGAGGACCTCACCTCCATCCTTAAACAGTGCCGGCGGGAGAGGATCCATGCCAGCGTTACGAAAATGATTGAGGGCTGTGATCGCGTTTCGGACCTCGGCCTCCGACGGAGGCTCTAAATTAACCATGGCACGTCCTGCATCACTTGAGTAGGAAGAGGTCAGGGAGCATGGGGACAACTGAACTGATCTTGAAAGTGTTCCGCCCAACGAGCCATACGGCGCTCCTTATGGTGTATCAGCGCACCCGCGCTGTCTCTGATTGTCTCACTGACGTCTGGTTTTCTAGGACCATTGGTGCGGATTAGCTGGAAGAGCTTACGTTAAATGCCTACTGCTCCTGCCTCCTCCATCTCCTGAGCCCTACTGGCCCACCAGGCTTCCTTGTCAACATGTAGGCTCTGCTTTAGTTCACGGCTATTAGACCGTCTAGTCACATTGTGTTCAAAGCCAGCCGGGAGGTGTCTCCTAGATTCCAGCAGGTTTATCGACCTCTTGGATATCCACTGACTGGTGCGGTGGCGACTGATAATGCCACAAGCAGATGCTGCTGCGTCGTGCTTGGCGGCCGAGATCCTATTGCACTGAAGCTGAGTGTCATTAGGACAAGACAGCGAAAGTTCGGTACGCAGTGCGTCTTGATAGGCTTGCCTGACCGAGGGCTGAGACAATTTCTCAGTTGCCAATTGGAGGAGACGCTTGGTGCACCTCCCAGTAAAGTTATGGAGAAAAGACAGCGTACCAGGGCATGATCAGGTACTCCAGTACGAGTGACAATCCAGTATGGAACCAC